CCCCTCCGATAAAGTTATAGGGAGATTATCAATCTACTGTTAGTATAAAAGTCTAATTAGCACACATATATCAAAGAATGGACACTGGTGCGCCACTATGTACCAGAGTTACCAAACGAGATAAACACTATAATACATGTATAAATCATTCGACAGTCTCCTCCGGGACGAGAATCTTTATGGTTAACCATCGGCATAAACATGAATGGACTCAACAGGACAGCTCTTAACCCCGGTGTTCAGTAGCATGACAGCAGCTAGGAGTATGCCTACTTCCCCTGCGATTAGTCTCCTACGCAGCCGTTATTGTGTCGTTCACGCAACACGCTTCCCCCACTAACGCGCCTAGCCTCAAACCTGCGACCACATTCGTTTCCTTTGTTTGACCACAGTAAGCCTTTGACACCTATCGGCAAAAACGTGACTGTTACCGTTTGCCGAAAAAAACTTGCTAGATCGATCCAATTCTTGAACTAGGATGTCTGTTTGTAATTATAATGAAGTTTTTTTTCGACATTATTTCTTTCATATCATACATTTTTCTTCAGTTAAAACCGTGTTGTTTTATTTTGATGTCTGGTGTGCCGTCAAATTCAAAAGGCGGGGTATACCAGCGTGCGTTTGACGTTTCCGACGCTAAGGTCACGATAAGACACAATCTATGATTGACGTGTATTTTGGCGCGAACCGAGTACAGAAAATGGCACTGCAACTGTGATTGGCTTAAAATCTGCAAAGGAATGTGGCTCCAGGTTTGAGCAGCCCGTTAGTGGGGAGAAGCGTTTGCGTGACGACAACAAAAAACGGTCTGCGTGGGAGACTACCCCTGGAGGGTGGATGCTGCAGCATTTTGGTCAGCTGAGGTTTGTCCTAACAATAATTAACTTCTGAGTTAACCAATTACCACTCCTGGGTTGGTAGCGGCGTCTTCCTAGATCATTGTGAAGAGTAAAGTGTCTTATCACCAAGAACCACAAAACAATTGCACCCATCCTGATTATGGGCGGATCACCAAACCCTAAGATCTCTCAATTAAGGCCATTGTGCCGACCCTCGTCAGGTTCACTTTTGATAATTCAAATCGTATTATTTCTGAAATTGCTTTCAGAAATGTGGCTGTTGGGTATTCTTGATGTAGCATAGATCTTGGTAAATTACATAAGGCTACAACAGGTATGGTTATTCTTTAATTTAATCTCTTCACACCTTGACCAGTTCTCTGCTCCTTCGCATTTAACTTCTAGGTCAAGCCCTACATTGACTAAAGTTCCGGGCCTCATTAACGTTTGCAAAAATTAAGACCAGCATTTGTAATGTCTCGCTAATAATTACAAAAAACATATAATTAATTAATGCACGAGTTGACGCAAACATAGTGCATACCAATGAGTGTATAAGGGTTAACTGTCTCCACATGCATGCAACGTCGCCTCACGCGCCCCCCCCAACCCTCGCTTCCACCAGCTAAAGGCACGACTGAGTGCTGGTCTCTTTATAGACAAAGTCTGAGCAGCCCCCCTTGTCTTTCTAAAATTCATAGGATCCACCCTGCCAAGCACTGCCCTACTTGATCCATCAGACTATGATTTGTCCGCCAGCTGTATACAGCACACACTTTTAAAACACATGGTAGGATCCGAATATCACCCTTCAGCAATATAGCCCACATCAATATTGCACCACCTGTTTTCAGAGAGCTCCTGTATTACTCTCCCCTCCCTCCCTGCATGAAATAGGAAAACAAATTCCCAGTGTGGACTTAGTGACCCCCAAGATGCCTTGATTACGTTCTACAATGTTGTCTTACGAATCAGGATAGCTTTTTGTACGAGGGTGACATGTCTGAGGGTGGTGAGGGCGGTTCTGCTTAAGCTTCCAATGTTATAACGGGAAATTTTTGGTTCCACCCCCTCTGACTATGTCTAATTATGGCTACAACACACTGGACATTCATATAGCTGTTATTGAACGGTAGCCTGAGCGGCCTGTACTTGGGAAAATGTATTGGAGCAGATGTTCATTATGTTTTGTTCAAGTTTATGAACCGAGCCCCGAAGGCGAAATCCCGGTTTTCCATAAAACTTGCGAAAAAAAGAAACGAGCGACGAAATATGATTTCTCAATACAGACCCCGTAACAAGCTAAGTTCAATAAAAATAGTTTTTATTATAACTGGCTTTATTATTAAAACATATTCTGCTGCAGAAAATGCAGTAATGCTGACCATGTCATCGGCGCTAACTGGTGCGTGCCAAAGCTAGAGCAAATATTCTTGCATTTTTCAGGCACGTTGCCCCCCCCTTCCCCGAAAACTTTAACCAAAAAATTGTCCGCTAATGGACATGAGGAATAAAATGGTAATCTACCTAATAGAAAAGACAGGTTCATTTTTGTTCACTGTATTGCATAAAAGGAAATTTCGCCAAAATGGAGTTAAGTGAGCGGGTTTACCATTCTTTGCAGTCTCGTATTGTGTCAAAATTAGCGACCATCGCACGATAGGGAAACCAACTTCAGAATGCTCAAGTGCATCATGGAACCAGTATTGCAATATAATAAAAAGCATTATTATAGTAGACACGAGTGTGAAGTGTACTGGAAAATAGACCTACTTCGCATAAAATTCATACGAAACTGTACACATCCGGGACCCGAGTGGCGTATTTTCCATATCCCTCACTAAGCCTGAGGATATCGATGACGTCATTATTCCCGCTTTTAAGGTATGGCTTTTTGTGTAACGTTGCCAAACTGTTAACCGGTTGAAAAAAATCGGCGACGCCGCATAGATTCGTAGAAAATTTGATGTTAGAAGCAGATCATGAAACTCGTTCACTGAAGGTCAAACTGGTGCGGGAAATGCTAAAAAAGCAACGAGAAAGAAAACCTTCAATGAATTAAAATCTATATCAAGGGAGTTTCCTTTGCAAAAGTAGAAGACAAAAGAGGCGATGAGGGAAATTCAGGAAAGTCACAGCCAGCGAGCTTGCAAAGACGTTCGCACGATAAAAGTTATGTGCTTTTGTCAGTTTTGGTCACTAATAAAATAAACAAGAAAAAATTACACTGGTGGGCTGAAGATATGAATTAATTATTTTCTCGGGGTAAAAATCCATATCTTTAACTCACTCGCTGACGCTCTGTAAGCGTCAACATATTCGTGATTATACACCAATACACGAACTAAAAAATTACATATTCTATCGCGCACGCCAGCGGGTATATATCCTCTATTCATTACACAACACAATATTGCTGCTCGTAAGGGGAAAATTTATCTTGGGTAATTAATACGACCTGAAATGTACATATGGAAATATGACAAGATTATCTATATAAATAGAAAAAGTGACTTTTGAAATAAACGCTACTTATGGATACTGATAATAGTCATTACACTAATAAGCAAATTAATTTTATAATAAATTGTTTCATCCGAACTAAACGAAACTATTTATGGATCAATAAAAAGTATAGTCCTTTCTATGATGGCACAAGGAGCGACACTCTCAGTAGTTTCATCAGAAACAAGCGAAAAACGTCAAAGAAGCTTAAACTTGCATTGAATTATAGCCAGATGTGTTGTATTCGTTACGTCATCATTAATTGTATATTCTGTGCCAACCAGAGAACTCTTGGCTGTTGAAACAACGAGTTCTTTTGTATAATGGTTGGCAAATTTGAATAAACCAAAACAAATTTGACGTAATGTTGATCAGACAAGTGAACACTCCTCCAAGCTTATAACTCACATCGCACGCAAAAAGGTGAAAATGCGGTCGAGTAGACTTGTACTATGAACTGGTTGTACAACTCTGATGTTCCACCATTTCCACCACGTCCTTGTCTTGTGCTAAAAGTTTATGCATAAACAACAACATCAATCAAGGCAGGCTCACACACGATCGATGACAAAATAAAACGCCCTGAAGCCTTACCGTAAGACTGTTACATGAGAAGGAAGTACGAACGTTTCGTATTGTCCTTCACAAAACAAAATGACTCCTGTAGCCTTCTGTTACCCCATCTGTTTCGAGGATTCAGGCGGCGCAATGTACAGTGGAGCTATCCGATGGTTCGCCAGAGTCTACGAGAAAAGAGATCTGACTTTAGTGCAAGCCACAAATTATACAAGAGAAATAGAAAACAAAATGCAAGCTACAACAAGAAGTAAATTAAAGCATTATACGTTCGAGCAAAGTAATGCTAACAAATTCATGTGGAGCGTACTGACCAAATCATACCGAAAAGTTCTTCAATTGTTTATAGGATGCCTAGACGGCATGCAGAAGGCAAGTAACGCGTATCAGACTTCGGTCCTGACATGATCTGCAAGTTTTCTGTAAAAAACTATGAAAAAGGTTGCAGCGAAAAAATACCTCCGTTCGCGAACAGGCCTGGTTCCAGCGAACCATCGAACTCAGTTCCGGATGACGTCATGTACCTGAAAACGAGGGCCAACTAAAATGATATTTCCCCGGAGGGTTAGGTACTTACATGACGGGGAGATAAGTTTTTCGCGACATATGCACCTGCATTATGAATATCAGTCGGAGATGGGGTGAAGGAGAAAAAAATATGTCTGGCTCTGGTTTTAGTCTCTGGTGGGCTGACGGAAGGCGCGAGAGGAATGGGGCGGAGGAAAGAGTGAGAAACGCGGGCCACACGGGCATATTTTGACTATTTTGCCATCGCGCGGTAAAAAAGGCGAAGTAACCAATTTGTCCAGGTTGAATGTTCCGGCAGGAATGTTCGCATTCGAGTTGTGATTGCGAAACGGGGAAGGTTATAAGTCTTCACCTCCCCCGATGGCCGGCCCTGGCCCACAATGCAACTGCCGTAGCTATTCCTGGTTTCTGTCGCCTTAAGTGACTAGTAGTCTAGTCTTGCCGAGTCTCCTGGATGGGCTGTTGCGTCCATCGCATGTTATCCCCTGCATTTTGTCGTCTGTAGAGAGAGGCACTGTGAGAGTAAAGTGTCTGCCCAAGAACACAACACAGTGACCCTGGCCAGGGCTCGAACCTGGACCGATCGATCCGGAGTCCAACACGCTAACCATTTGGCCCCACGCCTCCCTCTCTGAAACTTCTCGGAAATTCGATAAACGTGTGCTAATAACCGTAACCAAGACCTCTTGATATCCGGAGTCCGACGCACTAACGAAAAGCTAGGTCACCACGTGCACGCCTCCCAAAGAACTACCTCTTCCAAATATATCAAGATTCTACTTCAAGACAAGACTCAAGGGAAGTATTATCAAGTAGATTATCCTCTCTTGGTATTATATACGGTTCAATTAGCTTAAAATATAGACTCTCCTTTATTATTTAATATCTGCTACCATGACTGGGGGGGGGGGGGGGGGGGAGCAACTGGCTCTACAAGAGTCATTGTCAGGGGAAACAAGAGAAAATTGCCGTGGGTGAACCTGCGATGGACTAGCCACTCATTCTAGCCCTAGTGGGTATCAATACTCGTTGCGACCTTAGGCACAGGATACCAGAGTTAGTCTGAGCCCGCGTTTAATTACGAAGCGGCCGCGTTTCTTTGGTGTACTTCTTCTAAGAAATTGTGACGTCAACTCCTGGATCGATTTATACGTCAGAGAAAAGAAACGTATTTTCGGCTCTTGTTTCGGCGGCGTGTGATAATTAAGAACTGGAAATACGTCTGCTGCTTATGCACAAGGGATAGATCTTTTCAAATTTTGAAAATCGAAAATTTCTGTCAGCAGGAGTAAAATCTTTGAAATGTATGCTGCAAAATCGGTAGAAAATTTGATTTTCACAACTACATGCAGGTTCAATTTTGAGCTCAATTTTTGGGTCTCGTCTCAAACGTTTTCCGACTGAAAAGAAGAAGACAAAGAGCTACAAAGGGCAAAGACAACAATTTCCATCTCAGCCTACATAATAAATGCAAAGACAAGATTATTTTTTTGTTATCTTTAATCACCCAGTAGCCTCCCAGTCACTTTGACATTTCTTTTCTAAACTCTTTATTTGCATTGATCAGCAAACAAACAAACAAGGAAAGACAGAAAGTTCTTAAAAGTTCACTGGTCTGATTTTCATCTCAGCTCTCTTGGCGGAGTAGTTATATCCTTTCCAAGCTTTCCAGTTCACTCCATCAGCGTAAGATGAGAGTGCGCTCCATGATGATAAAGACCGTTTAGGTTGGAAGAATGGCACCTTGTGTACCACCAGGCTGCTTTGTTGCTGACAGCACAGTTACCGCTCCAGCTGTCATTGTCCTGATCTTTGGTTGAAAAAGGATAACCACGATGCTCAGAAAGCGAATCACCAGCAGGTCCTGACAAAAAAAGAAACACGAGTATTTGAGAGAATGACACTGAGAATAGATGCAGAATCGAGGTATTGGAGGTCTCTTTAGGGAGGGAGTAGAAGTAGGCTCGATTTCCGCCGCCCTCTCGAGTCCGGTCTTCGTTCCTCCCCAGGGGATGAGCGTGGGCTCATTTTCCCGAACAGCGGCTGGTAATCGAGCCTAGAGTCGGAAGCTGCTCAACACTCTAAAGACTGTCGACAAAAAGTAACAGGATAATCTCAAGTAAAAACCGTGTAGATTTCGCCTCCTGTCAATATATAATACTGAAAGCAACGCATTTCGTGGCCAG